AAGCTCCCCAATCTCCTCTCCATCATCGTCGTGTTCTTCAGTGCAATCTTCTTCGGCAGATCCAACAAAAAACAGGCTTGGAGTCGAAGGAGATTCGTCTAAAACCTTCTGTACCTTCACCGTATCAGCAATTTTCTCTGATGAAGATTTTTCGAAAACCTTAGCCGGTTTGTTCGTAGAATGATCTTGACTATTAGTTCCATTGTTTGAAAAGGTGATCGATTTTTCATTGCCGGGATAAACATCTGACGATTTTTGTGCAGGTTTCTTGTCTTCTGGGGCTTTAAGGAAAAAGGAAGCAAGCCCAGATTCTGCTCCAACTGCGAAGATGAGAATGTTGACGATGAAGCAGAGATACTTAGGCCTGAACGATGTGGATAAAAGTGGTGTTATAATGCAGAGAGCTGATATTAGAAAAAGCTTCAGAATTTGGGATTTCTTCATCTTCTCCATGATTTTCAAGAGAGGTCTGTGTGAGTTTGAGAGAGAGAAGTGATTTCTATGGTTGGATGGGATTTTTGTGCATGTGAGTGGGGGCCTATTCGCACTAGCACACGTATATAAAGAGGTTTTACAAGACATATTTGGTCGTGTAAAGATTGATGGGGCTATTTTACGTTAGAAAAAAGAGTAATGCTAAGTGCTCTCATTGTAATCATAACCTTAGCCCTATGTAACGATGTTGTGACATTAAATGATAAAAACAATTAAATGAGTCCTAATTTCCGTATTTCGCTTAGCCTATCACTTAATACAATATAGACTGAAGTTATAGCCCAATAGGACTAAATACCATTATTCTTTCAAAAACAATATTAGAAACAGTAAGATGATATTGCTGTGAAGAAAACAATATAGAAAGGGCACATAACATTCTCACATTTCACTATTATCGTGAAAAACGTTATTATCTTTCATTTTTTTTGCATTTTCACTCTTATTTCCACATTTTATTACTCAAAAAGTCATTTTCATGTATTTTCTCAATTAAGAACTGTAAAATGATAAATATATTATTATCTTTAAATAAAATAAAAATAAATAACTAATTGCAACCATTATCCCAAATTTTTTAAAAAAATGAAAATGAGTCCAAATAAATTATTAAAAGGGTAATTAACACATAATATTCATATAAATTCATTGTTATTATGAAAAACGTCCATACATTTATTTATTTTTTTTTGACATTTTCACCCTTAGTTACATTTTTTATTGTG